GTTTTAAGATTGTTTGGATAAAGCATAGTGTAACTTCAAATATTTTACTTACATTGAAAAATAATTATTCTGGCAGGTGGAGCTTGAAGGTCTTAAATCATCTGAAAAATAAAATATAAATTGTGATATAACAATATAGAATACATCTTAACAAATAGACAGTAAATAGATTTGGAGTTACCTGTCTCAATCTTAGAACAAATCTCCAAATCTTAAAGTTGTTGAGGAATATCTAAGATACTGATTTTCTACCAATCCAATTTTGTGTACATATCAGAGTTTCCACTATTTTAGGTGTCAAAGAACTCCTAAAAGAATCAAGAATCCTCCCACCCATACTAAATGCTGATTCAGAAGATATAGTCGACACTGGAACGGCCAAAATATCTTGGGCAATTTTCGATAAAACTCTATATTTAAACTCATTTGCTTTCCACCATGCCAAAACATCAAAATTATTATCAAGTTCTTCACTAGGGTCAGATAAATATCGATCCACATTATTCTTTAACTCGAGTGAAAGTCGCTATTCTCTTCTTCGTTTGTATCTTGATAATACTAATATTGAACCCCTCAAATTCTCTTCATCAATTGTGTCCATCTCCATACTCATGGACTTAGAAGTGAGTCTTGATTCAGATTGATGATGATCTTGAGCAGTATCATAAAACTTGTAGTAATCATACAAACAAATTAAATAATTCTTTATGCCATCCACCATCACTTTAGCCATAACATCTTCATAAATATTCGAAAAGCAAAATGATATATAATCCAATTTGTAAGGAGGATCAAGTACCATTGTTATGAATATCAACTTATTAATTCTTTCCACTTAGTCCCAATATTTGTCATACTTAACTTTCATATTGAACTCATGTTATTTAAAACAGAGTTTACATTTGTACTCCACTGAATTAAAAGTTCTCGAATACCCCAAAGTTCATGAAAATAAGAATTAGAAGTCACATAAAAAAAACCATTTATCTTCGTAGTGACATCATAGAAAACCTTCAAAAACTTTACAAACACTACAACGTTTTTCCAGTCATCAATGGTTGGTGGCTCTATTCTTTTGTTTCCATGATCCCCTCTTTGAAGTAATAACATAATCTAATTCTTCTTCCTTTAATACTTTGAAAGCTTTTTCAAATTTCAAGGTATGATCAAGCATCAAATAAGTAGAATTCCATCGAGTCGCCACATCCAAATAAACAAGTGCTTTACATTTAATTTTTTCTTGTTCAACACGATCTTTAAATTTTGTCAATCTCTTGGGGGATGATCTAACATACCTCACGACATTACGTACACTAGAAATGGAGTCATGTATTTCTTTAAGCCCTTCGTTTACAATCAAATTAATTATGTGAGCACAACACCTCATGTGTAATATTTCTCCATCTAAGACAAGTGACTTCCAACTTCTAAACATTGGAACTTGCATTATCAACTGTGATAGAGAAAACGTTATCGATTCTCCATTCCAATAAACAACTCTCAATAATCTTGCCAATAGTCTCTCCCTTTTAGTTAGCAACTTGACAAAAGTTGAGAATTCTTTTATGCAAATTCCATTCTGAATCAATAAAATGTGTGGTGATTACCATGTCATTAATGTTTTGCAACGAAGTCCATGTGCCAGTGGTAAGACAAACCCTCTTGGAATGGCTGACTAAAAAATCTTTCAACTTCTTTTTTTTTTCTTCTAGATAGAGCTGAACTATATCTCTAGCAATGGTTACTCTTGACCGAGAGTCAAACTTAGGACATGCAACACTACAAAACAATTTGAAACCCTCATTCTCTATAAATTTAGATGATAAGTCATCCATAATTATCATCTTGGCACATGCTACTATACATCTTGTTTGATTAAATAATGAAGTAACAATATTACTACCACCCTTTCCATCTATTGAACGTTGAAAACTTAGAGTGGCTTGTTCTTTTTCCTCCACCTTATATGTGTACTTTCTACACTTATTTTTTAAGTGCTTCCATAACGTGCTAGTTCCACAAGAATTAGTATCACAAGCATACTCCCTGGAACAATAGTTGCACTTGCACCTCTTATTATTGTTCTCTAATCTTGTAAAGTGATCCCACACCGTTGATTTACTCGGTTTCTTCTTCTTAAATTCAGATTGTGTAGCCAATGGTGGTTTTGATGCATTATAATTACTAGAGCTACTTGCACATATAGTTGTAGTATTGTTTTCCATCTATAAAAAGTAAAATAGAACTATTATGATTCAAACATTTAACCCAATATTTACAATTATCGTAGAATGCATCAAAGTTAAAATATACAATCAGTCTTTGCAAGGGGATATAACAAAAAGAGAAAAACCTTACCCGTTATAGCGTTCCAGGAGACTAAAGAGAGAAAGACACGCTCGAGAAAGAAACAAGACAAAAAACGTGAGAGAATGCTATTGAGATCAAATTTCTTATGAGAGACTAAGTATCGAGAGATATTTGTATTTTGTGGAGAAGCTGAGAGTAGAGAGGTAGGGAGAGGAATGGATTTAGTGGAGAGGTAGGGAGAGCATAATGGATTGCAGAGAGGTAGAGAGAGGAATGGATGAAAGGATTGCTAGAGAGAGGAATGGATCGCAGAGAAGTAGAGAGCGGAATGGATTGCAAAGAGGTAGGGAGAGCAGAATGGATTGCAGAGAGGTAGGAAGAGGAATGGATGAATGGATTTTAAGAGGTAGAGAGGTAGAGAGAGGAATGGATTGGAGGTAGAGAGAGGAATAGATTTAGACTAGAATGAATTGTAGAGAGGTAGGAAGAGGAATGGATTTAGAGTATAGATTGAAGACAGACAAGGAGAGGAATGGATTTAGTGTTGAGAGTAGATGGATTTATGTAGAAATTTAAAATAACAGCCATCTCTTGGATTTAGTGTTGAGAGTAGATGGATTTATGTAGAAATTTAAAATAACAGCCATTTTCCAAGAGAACAGAAGTGTTGAGAGTAGATGGATTTATGTAGAAATTTAAAATAACAGCCATTTCCTAAGAGAACAGAGGGAGGGTGCCTATTGCTAAGGACTCTAGAGCACATATTAGGGCGAGAGAGAGAAATTTCTTTCCGAAGTAATTATTGGGTTTCCATATGTCAGGTTTGGCTTGGGCTTGGGCTTTGGTCAAAGACTAGATAAATTGTAGATTGGGCTTTGACTTTGGACCTTTGAGCTTTAATTTCCTTCTTTTTTTTTTAAATATTTTCAGGTTGGGCCGGGTTGACCCGATCATTTTCTTTTGGTACCCGAACCTAACCCAAATCAGATCGGGTTAAAAAAAATAGACCCAACCCAAACTCGAAATCCAACACAACCCAACCCAACCCTTATATTTTGGGTTAGGTCGGGTTGGGTTCTCGGGTTTCCGGGTTGGGTGTACACCCCTAGGGCAACAGCAGAACGAGCCACGTCGTGCGGTAGCATCGGGTCGAGGCGCGGGTCACAGTCTGATTCGGGTCACGGTTCGAGTTGCGGGCTGCAGAAGGCTACTGAGCCAGACTAATCGTTGGGCCTCGGGCTGGGCTGGGCTGTAAGTGTTTGGGTTGCAGGCCGGTTCGATTGATCCGTGGGTCTAGTCTCAGGTTGGTTCAGCTGAACCGTAACTTCTGGGCTGGTTTGAGGTTTGGGCAGCTGTAGTTGGGCTGGACCGAAGGCAGAGACTAAGGGAAAGAATCGGGCTGGCTCTCTCGGGTTTTGGATTCAGGTTGACCCAGATCCGTGGATCTCGTCTTTCTTACCCGACTTCGGCCGATTTTCTGGCGCATCTTCTCTCTCCTTCCCGTAGTGTTTTCGTTACAGATTTTGGTCCTATTTCTTCCTTTTCCTCTTTTTTTGTCGTCCTTTCCTTCCTCGAAGTTTTGCGGCCTAAAAGTTCTTAAAACCACAGATCTAAGAACGTTTAGGAAAACCCAATTTTTCGACCTCGGTTATCGACGACGGCGCTTACGAAAAGGCACAAAATGTACCTTGAGTTATTGTACTTTCGTTAGGGATCCTTCTCGTTGTGATAACTGATCGCTTGGTGTCGGTTTTCGGGTGGTTTAGGACTCGGTGGAGAAATTGGAAACTCGCCGGCGTTTATCTGAAATCTCTCTCTCTCTCTCTCTCTCTCTCGTATTTTCTTTCTTTTCTCTGTTTGCAGGTATTCTGATAGGTTCAGGGAGTTGTGGACTGAAGGCTGAGCGAGGTGTGGCTGTCATTTCGCGTGGGATCTGGGAAACTCCGCGGTCGCCGAAAAACTCACGAGTTTTCCGGCGACTGAGTTTTTTTTTCCTCGGGTCATTACAGTTTCCAAATCCTCTTATCATCTTCTTCCTTTCAACACTCTAATCCATATGATCACCATCAAACTTTCTTCATCCAATTATCTTCTTTGGAAAAGCCAGCTTCTCCCTCTCTTTGAGAGTCAAGACATGTTGAGCTATGTTGATAGAACTATGGTTCCACCACCTTGCTTTGAAACAGAAACCTCCTCAACACTCAACCCCAAATATTTGGCGTGGAGAGCAGCCGATCAATGACTTCTCTGTCTCCTGCTCTTCTCTCTCACCGAGGAAGCCATTGTTGTTGTCGTCGTTGGTCTCTCCACTGCACGTGATGTTTGGCTTGCGTTGGAAACTACGTTTAGCCATCATTCCAAAGCTCATGAACTGAGACTCAAGGATGACTTGCAGCTAATGAAATGTGGCACCAAATCTGTTGCTGAGCATGTCCGTGCCTTCAAAACAATTTGTGACCAACTTCATGCCATTGGCAGACCCGTCGAGGACAGTGATAAAGTGCACTGGTTCCTGCATGGACTCGGCACCGATTTTTTAACTTTTTCTACTGCTTAGATGGCTTTCACCCCTATCCCCTGTTTTGCAGATTTAGTCTCTAAAGCTAAAAGTTTTGAGTTGTTTCAGCGCTCCCTTGAGTCCTCTGACTCCATTTCTACAGCATTCATAGCCACTAATCGTGGTCTCACCCATGGAAGCCACCCTCCTTCCTCTAGTAACCAGCGAGGTCGTTCTTATTTCCACAAAAACAACTCTTCCAATCGAGGACAAACCCACTCAGGTCAAAGTCGTCGACCACCTAACTGCCAAATATGCCGCAAAGAGAACCATTATGCTGGCTGCTGCAACCAACGGTATGTTCGACCTAATTCTACTCATGCTCACCTTGCTGAAGCCTTCAACATGTCTTGTTCTATTGCTGGACTTGATGCTGCTGATTGGTTTCTGGATACTGGAGCTTCGGCCCATATGACTGCCGACCCATCTATTTTGGATAAGTCTAAAAATTACACGGGTAAGGACTTTATGATCGTAGGAAATGGTGCATCCCTACCCATTACCCACATCGGTACTCTTTCTTCTGTTCCAAATATTCACTTATTAGATGTCTTGGTTGTCCCTCACCTCACTAAAAATTTTCTTTCAATTAGTAAATTAACATCTGATTTTTCTCTCTCCATTACATTTACTAATAATCTTCTTACTATCCAAAATCGTCAAACAGGAAGGGTGGTGGCAACCGGTAAAAGAGATGGAGGGCTATATATGTTGGAGCGCGGCAACCATGCTTTTATTTCAGTACTTAGAAATAAATCTTTATGTGCTTCACATGATTTATGGCATGCTCACCTGGGTCATGTGAATCATTCTGTTATTTCTTTTCTAAATAGAAAAGGTCATCTTTCTCTTACGTCTTTATTGCCTTCTCCATCACTATGTAGTACTTGTTAACTTGCGAAAAGTCATCGATTGCCTTATTCCTGCAATGAACATAGGTCGTCTCATGTGTTAGATCTTATTCATTGTGATCTTTGGGGCCTTCCCCTGTCAAATCAAATTCGAGTTTTCTTTACTATGTTATTTTTATTGATGATTATTTTCGATTCACTTGGTTTTACTCTTTAAAATTTTAAAATAATTTCTTTGATATTTTTCTTCCATTAAAAAAATTTGTGGAAAATCAATATTCTTCTCATATCAAGGCATTTCAAAGCGATGGAGGTACCGAATTTACTAGCACTTGTTTCAAAACTCATTTACGTACTTTTGGCATCCACCATCAACTCTCTTGTCCATATACGCCTTCTCAAAATGGTCGTGTTGAGAGAAAACACCGTCATGTGTCTGAGACTGGCTTGGCTCTTCTCTTTTACTCCCATCTTTCTCCTCGTTTTTGGGTTAACGCCTTCAGCATTGCAGCTTATATTATCAACCGATTGTCTACTCCACTTCTTGGAGGTAAGTCACCATTTGAACTCCTCTATGGCTACTCTTCGCATTATGAGAATTTTCATCCCTTTGGTTGTCGTGTTTATCCTTACTTACGTGATTATATGCCTAACAAGCTTTCTCCCTGCAGCATTCCTTGTATTTTTTGGAGTTATAGTCTTGCTCATAAAGAGTTTCGCTGTCTTGATCTTGCCACCACTAAGCTATATATCACCCGCCATGCTCAATTTGATGAAACTCACTTTCCTGCTATCCTTAACTCTCATGCCCAACCTCTTTTCTCTCTTCATATTTCAAATTTCTTAGAACCACATCTTTATCATATTGATTCATCCCCCTCTGCCACTTCATCATCGCACATTTCTCGATCCAGTTCATCCCTTGTGATATTTGTTCTGACCTTGTAGATGAATCTGTGTAGGTTGATACTTCTTGTGCAGGTTCTGCTTTGCCACCCTCGACGTCAGATCCGACCTCTATTGAACCTACTGTTGATTCCTCCTCTTTGGGTTCTCATCCTATGATTACACGAGCCAAAGCTAGTATATTCAAGACTCATCATCCAGCAAATATTGGTATTTTGGGCTCATCTGGACTTTTTTATGCTCTTCTTGCATTCACTAAGCCAAAAGGATTCAAATCTACGACTAAGAATCCTACTTGGGTTGCTGCCATGGATGAAGAAATTCGAGCTTTACAACAAAATGATACTTGGACTTTGGTTCCTCGCCCTGCTAACACCAACATCGTGGGCTCTAAATGGGTGTTTCATATTAAATATTTGCCTGATAGATCTGTTGAGTGTTTCAAGGCTCGTCTTGTTGCCAAAGGTTATACTTAGGTTCCTGATCTTGACGACATTGAGACTTTCAGTCCGGTTGTCAAAGCTACCACTGTCCGTGTTGTGCTTTCTATTGCAATCACAAATAAATAGCCTCTTTGACAACATGATGTCAAGAATGCTTTTCTCAATAGAACTTTTATTGAACGTGTTCATATGGAACAACCTCCTGGGTATATTGATCCTCAATTTCCCACTCATGTTTGTCTATTAAAGAAAGCCCTGTATGGCTTAAAGCAAGCTCCTCGCGCTTAGTTTCAGGGTTTTAGCCCATTTCTTCTCACACTTGATTTTTCTTGCAGTCGCGCTGACATGTCCCTTTTTATCTTTCATCAGCAATCTAACCTTATCTATTTGCTTCTTTATGTTGATGACATTATTGTTACCGACAACAACTCATCTCTTATTGACAGCTTTACTCGCAAGCTTTATTCTGAGTTTGTTACCAAAGATTTGGTTCTCTCAGTTACTTTCTTGGTCTTGAAGCTTCACTCACTCTTGATGGTCTCTTTATTAGTATGTTAAAATATGCTCAAGATATTCTTACTCGTGCTCAGTTGCTCGATAGCAAACCAGTCCACACTCCCATGGTTGTTTCTCAACACCTGCTGATGGTTCTCCTTTCTCTGATCCTACTCTCTAGATCTCTTGTTGGCATCCTTCAATACTTGACTATTACACATACATATATTGCCTATGCTGTGAATTATGTCAGTCGATTCTTGCATGCCCCTACTGCAGATCACTTTCTTGCTGTCAAACGTATTATTCGCTATGTCAAAGGAACACTCCACTTTGGTCTTACCTTTTGTCCATCCACTGTTCCTAGTACGCTAGTCACTTATTCAGATGCTGACTGGGCTGGTTGTCTCGATACTCGTCGTTCTACATCCGGCTATTCTATTTATCTTGGTAACAATCTTGTTTCTTGGAGGGCCAAAAAGCAACCTACTGTCTCACGCTCCAGCTGTGAATCTGAGTATCGTGCTCTTGCCACGACTGCTGCTGAACTTCTTTGGGTTACGCATCTTTTGCATGACATCAAGATCCCTATTTCACAGCAACCTTTACTCTTATGTGACAACAAAAGTGCTATTTTTTTTTAGTTTTAATCCCGTTTCTCACAAGCGGGCCAAACATGTTGAACTAGATTATTATTTCCTTTGAGAACTTGTTATCGCTAGCAAACTTCGCACACAATATGTATCTTCCCATCTCCAAGTTGCTAACATCTTCACGAAAAGTATTTCTCGACCTTTCGAATTTTTCAAATCCAAGCTTCACGTTTGTTCAAATCTGACACTCAGCTTGCGGGGGTGTTAAGGATAGTTGACCGTTTATTATAAGGCAAATATTTAAATATTTACCTGGCTTACCATATTTGCCCCTTTTATTAAAGGCAAATATATTGTATTAATTTATTGTTCTTACCTTTTATTGTTATTTTCATATTATTTGTGATTTACCATAATTCTCTATACTGTAAATGATTATAAATAGAGAACTTTCACCCCATTTAGGTTGGAGGGTTTCAGCAAACATTTTCAATTACTATATACATATCATGAACATAGAATGCAGAAATACTTTATTTAAACTTTATTTAAACTTCTTCATAAAACATAACTTTCATCTTAAAACATTGTCATGGACTTATGTGTTCGAAAACATGTTTAAAATGACACAACGAAATACCAAATAAAATAAATAAACATTAAAAATTAAGAACCCTATTCTAACCCAAGTCTAAGAAAACAAGTACAACTACCTTATGCATCTATCATGGTCATATACTATATCATAACTTATATCTTTGCATGTGTCAATTCACATATCATAACATATTATAACATATCATATATCATAAGAGTCACATAACATAACCCGAGCATGCCTTCAACATATCACACCATAACATATCGCATCACAATATATCATACCATAAACATATCAATTTAACACGTATAGCATAACATTCACGTAACATCTCATTTTATAACAATTTACATATACAAGCATAAGACATATGCGAAGCCATGGGCATGTGTCATCAATCAGCACACAATTATAACCAAACAACAGTGGGGCCATTTACTTAGTTGGCCTAGGCCAAAGCTACTACGAATCCTTGATGCTTGATGCTAGCGCTACTTAACATGCTTTGGAAATTTAATTCTGCCTAAAGAGTCCAAAATCATAAATTAGAACTACAGTAGGGATTCACTCACCTAATTTTGCATAAAATAATTTTAAATTTATTTATAATTATTTAATTTAGCTAAGCCTAGTTATACATAAAAACTTACCCCTAATAATTTAAACTAACTAACCTAATTATGCATAAATAATTTAAACTCGATGCCAAAAATTTAGGTAGCCAAAAGGTAGTCATACTAACCTTAAACGTTTCCAAAGAACTGAATTCCTACATGTTAATATTTTGAGAAAATTAGTTGAGAAAATTAATATTTTGCATGATGATCATATGTGACTCGACCTTAATCCTCACTGAATTATGAATTCCTACATGTTATGTGTTGTTCTCTTATTTGTATGGGTGAGAATGACTTTTGTATCCAATTCAACGTCTACCATTTTGGGAACTTGGTCAAATAGGTAGTTCCAAACATAATTTCATGAAATGGAATTCACTTTTTTCGATAAAAGGTAAGTAGATGAATCGTTTTCTTAAGTGCTGATTTCAAGACTTGAAGAATGGGATCCCACCTTCTCAATGTCTGGAGAGGGACTTAGTTTATAATGAGATTATAAAAAAATTATTCCTTAGATAATTGATGATATTATTGAGATATAATATTTAGAGAATATATTATTTATGGAATAGATCTTCGATATTATATCTTAATATTTTTTCCTTTATGATTTGGTAGAGTATATTTTATTTTATTCTCAATATTTAATTAGTTTATATTTTCCTTTTGTACGTATTAGTTGCTAGCCTGTATTGGATAGGAATATCAATGAGAATATACATTTGATTCCAATTCTATTTCTATTTTTCATTCTTAACATGATATCAAAGCACGGATCTTGATATTCTTAAATATCAGAATTTTCTCTTGAGTTAGGGTTTGGCATCAGAGCCAAAGCCAAACCCTAACTCTATCAGTCTTTACAACCGCCATTCATAACCTAACTCAATCAGTGAAGCCTTACATCAACCGATCTTCCAATATCAAGAATACGTTATAAGCATCTTCAAATTTCTCACCAAGCTCAAATGTGACATATTCAAGATGTTCGTATTTTCTTTCACAATCTCTCAAGTGATCCAGAGCACCGATCTTGGTGTCATTATCTAACTTCAAAACTTCGGATGTTTATTTAACACATTCTTATTATATTCATCATTCTGATCCGCCAGGATATTCACTTGTTCCAATCAAATTAAATGGAACAAACTACCAATCTTGGAGTACATCATTTATGCATAAATCAAGAAGTAGCTCTTCAAGTTCTGAGATACATCAAAGGCGGTCTATTTATGAGTTTTGCATCTTTTTAGGAAATTCAATAATTTCTTGAGAAGTCTAAAAATGCAAACCAATCAAAGGCGGTCTATTTCTGAGTTTTGCATCTTTTTGGGAAATTCAATAATTTCTTGAGAAGATTAAAAATGCAAACCAATCAAAGGCAGTCTATGTCTGAGTTTTGCATCTTTGGAAATTCAATAAATTCTTGGAAGTCTAAAAATACAAACCAATCAAAGACAAGTTGTGTTATTGACCTACACTCGTAAAGACAACTTGGGTGTTATTGACTACACTCAACTTGGGTGTTATTGACCTACACTCGTAAAGGCAAGTTGGATGTGATTAACATACACTCTCCAACTTGAGGGGGAGTGTTGAGATATAATATTTAGAGTATATATTATTTATGGAATATATCTTAGATATTATATCTTAATATTCTTCCTTTATGATTTGATTTATAGTATATTTTATTTTATTCTCGATATTTAGTTAGTTTATATTTTCCTTATTTGTAAGTATTAGTTGCTAGCTTGTATCCTATTTAAAGCTTATGAATATCAATGAGAACATACATTCGATTCCAATTCTATTTCTATTTTTCATTCTTAACAAATATTAAGGCAAAAAATGTAATTGCATGGGAAAAATGAACTTTTGATCCAGTTGTAATTATGAACAACTCATTAAGAATTGACTAGTTCGTAATGATTATAATAATGGACACACCTTGTCATAGAGTAACTAAGAGTGTAACTCTAGGTCTATAATATAGTGTCCTAAAATTAATGAATGAAAATTGATTAATTAAAAAGTTTAATTAATTTTTATTGATAAATTTTTGTATCATTATTGGAGTTACCGTCTCCTTGCTAACTCATAAGATTGATTTTGAAGCGTTTAAATTAATATTTAACATATTAAATATATTAAAATAATTAAAAATAGTTATATTTAATTTAAAATATTCAAATTATCCTTTAATATATAAAATATATTAAACATATAAAAGAAAAATAATATTGTATTTGATATATTAAATATTAAAATAATTATATGAATTTTTTTTTAGAGAGCCTTTCATTTTTTTTTAAAAAGGCTCCTATTAGCCTTGTTCAAGCCGTTGGGAAGAAACTATAACATTGTTGAAATACAAAAAGGTAAATACTTTCCCATTAAATGTTTTCTTTTAATTTTTAATAAAATAAAATTGGTTTTCAATGCTTCTCCTAGGATGAAAAATGCATTCCCTTTATTTCTAGATAGCATTTAGTTTTAGAGCCGATACTAGACTTAATTAAAAAAACACATGGACATTATCGAGTTGAGGTGACTAGATTTGATACCACGTACCCTATAATCACTAGTGATCATAGACGAGGTACATTCTTAGATCAATGAGGTAGATTCATATCCAATTTTTGTCATCACCTATTCCTTAGTATGTATGCATTTGGTTGAAATTATAGAACCATAATATCCCTAGACCATGTATGGTATCATGTGCGGAAATGATTCAGTGTTTCAACAAGACCTTTGTTTCGTAAACTAGTTTTCGGGTGGTCCACAGATCATATGGATACATTATGAGATGAGAGAAACGAGTATGACATGATGTTATGGTCCTACTTTAGAATTGTCATCTATTCTTTGGTATGTATGCACCCATAAGGATCAAAATCATAGCATCTATAAGCCATCAGTGTCACTCAAACGTGGGTCGTGCCTCACCATAACATGCGTGGATAACTATATCGTAGTGCCTCACCATATGCACATATATGTATGTATCACACAACAGACACACATATATATATATATACATATCTATGTATGTATGTGTGTTATGTATTTGTATATAGCACATACTTATACATTTTTTAAATTTTCATCCTTTTTGTCTTTAAATGTGAAAAATTTACCATGTATTCATTCTATATTCTTTTATTGAAAAAGATTTGTCTAAAATTTCAAAATCCAATTAATAATAATTTATTTATTGATAAAAAAGAACTAGCTAATTTCTATATTACATAATAAACTTCATAATCTAGATAAGGTAAATTAATAAAATTTTGATTTAAACATAATTTAAGAAAAATTCTTAATAAAGAAAAAAATATAAAAGAAAATTTTAACAAAAATATCAATAGAATAAATGGAGATTAATATTAAGTTTTGCCATATTTGGAGAGATTTCCGCCTATATTCAACTCGCTATAATTAGTTAAAAAATAACTGATTTAATTAAAGGTTAATCAAATTAATATAGAAATATCATTTAAAACTAAACAACCCATTATTTTGGATTGAACATATTTTAGACATAATTTAATTTTTTGGACCATAAACTTTTTCAGTCCAATAAATCTTTATCAAATAATGATTTCCCTTAATCTAACCATAAAATATTTACGTTAGGTTGATTCTCGAATAATTTACTAAAAAAAATTAATAAAAATAAATTTTTAATATGGAAAACCTTTGTTAATTTGTTTTTAAATACTGATTTTGTTCACTTAGTTTGAGCATGTTGTTGGAGTAACTATTTTAACACTCTAATACACGTAAAAGAATTATATAAAAAAAACAAACAAGATGTCAAATTTAAAAAGATCTCACTCCTTATGTTTCTTAAATAGTCTGTTGGACTAATATTTTAGGTAAATCCAACCATTTCATTTACGACAGGAATTTTCAACATAAAAAAAAAAAGTAATAATAGTAATAGTAATAAATTCCTTCCCTATTTTTTATTCTTCAATTATCCTATAAAATCATTTTTCCGTGATCTGAAAACCATAAACTCACCAAGAAAATTAATCATGGAACTTCCTCGAAAACCCACAAAAATGGATGTAATTTTTCTTCTTCTGTCTTTGAATTTCACTTTTTTTTCTTTCTATTGGTCGTGTGGGCTTGGCTTGGCTTGTTATTCTACTTTTCATTGGTTTTTGTTAGGATTACTTAAAATGATTACGAGTTTTTGTTCTAAACCGGGATTGGTTGATTGAAAAACTTTGTTTTTTTCATGTAACCAACATAAAGATGAACCAATAAATCTAACTGTCATTTTAAACATTATTTTATCGAGAAACAAAAAGAGATTGAATCATCTTTGATTTTGTTCGGCAGGTTACTTTGGTGAGAATCTCAGCCGTGATCGTACTGGCATTGGTGAGCATAGCCACAGTGGACGCTATGAATCCGCGTCTAAGTTCGAACACTCTGAAATTTCAGGCCATCAATTGTCGGAAACACTCGGCGTTGCTGACGGAGTTTGGCGGTGTCGGCGACGGAGTAACTTCAAATACTAACGCGTTCCGAAAAGCGATTGAACATCTTAGCACACTTGCGGCGGATGGTGGTGCTCAATTGATCGTGCCGCCGGGGAAATGGCTGACCGGAAGTTTTAATCTGACTAGCCATTTCACACTTTTTATCGATAAAGAAGCAAAAATTCTTGCATCCCAGGTTCGACCTATCGAGTATTTTATTTTTATAAAGCTAACAACTTTGGGAGTGGTGATTTGAATTTTAATTTTTAATCGAAATTAAATGAGTTAAATTTGTTCGTCGTAATTTAATGGTGCAGAAAGAATCAGAGTGGCCACTTGTGGAAGTTCTCCCATCTTATGGGAGGGGAAGAGAGGCTCCGGGTGGACGGTACAACAGCCTCATTTTTGGAACTAATCTCACCGATGTGGTTATCACAGGTGATTATTTTTCTTTTAACATTCTAATTTTTTTAAATGGTTTGCAAAATTATAATCTTATAAGCTTTCTTGCTATCAGAATTAAATAAAAAAAATTTAAGGTAAATGAAAACATAAAAAAAACATTTATAGAAAATAAAGTCGGGTTGGTGACATGGTGTAGGTAACAATGGTACAATCCACGGGCAAGGATCTTCTTGGTGGGAAAAATTTAAGAAAGGGGAGCTCAAGGTAACACGACCGCATGTGATCGAGATCATGTACTCTGATCAAATCCAAATCTCCGATCTCACTTTGATCAACTCACCTTTTTGGTGTGTCCATCCGATTTATAGCAGGTTTGACTATTTCACTTTACTCTCATTATTCTTATATTTTAGGATTATGCTGGAAGAAAAAAAAAATTAAAACTTGTAATAATATACCGTTCAAATCATTCCCAACTAATTTTTTTTTGATATATATATATATATATGTATAGATTTATATTATTATGATTTATTTTTAATTTAGTTTGGTTGGGTTGGGTGAAAATGCAGAAATGTGATTATCCAAGGGCTCACCATCTTAGCTCCCGTCACCGTACCCAACACTGACGGAATCAATCCAGGTTTTCTTCTTCTTCACCTTTAAAACCTCATGGTTCTTTTCTTCGTCAATCCCTCTCCCTAATTCTCTATTCAATTTATCAGATTCTTGTTCCAACATTCGAATCGAAGACTGCTACATTGTCTCCGGTGACGATTGCATCGCCATCAAGAGCGGATGGGACCAATATGGTATCAAGTTCGGAATGCCGACCGAAGACCTTGTCATTCGCCGCCTCACTTGCATCTCACCAGATTCTGCAGGTATCGCCCTTGGTAGCGAAATGTCTGGCGGAATTCGCAACGTCAGGATCGAAAACGTCACTGCAATCAATACACAGTCTGCTGTCAGAATCAAAACTGCTCGCGGACGAGGTGGTTTCGTCAAGGACATTTTCGTCCGAAGAATGTTTCTATCCACGATGAAATACGTCTTCTGGATGACTGGAGACTACAAATCGCATGCAGATGACAAGTTTGATCCCTCGGCATTGCCAGTGATTAAGAACATTAATTATAGAGACGTGGTTGCTGAGAATGTTAATATGTCAGCAAATTTGGCAGGGATATCGGGAGATCCATTCACGGATATTTGTATGTCGAATGTAAAGATTGGATTGTCGAAGAAGCCTAAAAAGTTGCAGTGGAACTGTACGGATGTTGAGGGATTTAGTAGCGATGTGGATCCGCCGCCATGTGCTCCACTGGCTAAAGCAGTGAAAAACGGTGGATGTGACTTTCCCGAGGACAAGCTGCCAATTGAGAATGTTGAGCTGAAGTCATGCTCCGTTGAAATTCCTGCCTTTTAATAGATTTTGTTTTCTTTTTAATTCTATCGAATAAATGGTAATGAAAAATTTAAAGATATAGATAAAATGTCTTTTTCTTAAAATTTGTTAAAATAAGAAGTTTTTAATTTTGAAAATAAGTTATTTCTACCATATTGGTTATAATAAAAATAAAAAAAATAAAAATAAAACTCTTAAATCCAAATATGTTAGTATATGATATTTATGTTTTATTTTTACTTTAATTTTAAGTTATTTTGTTTAAAGACTCTTTATTAAACATTAAATCTATGGCATTTTATGAATACGTCTCAAATGATTATTTTCGCATAAAATGGTTATATTATGTATATGATAGCGATTTTAAGTTAGTACTTAAAAGCCCGTAAAACGGTGAAATTCCAACAAGTTTACAAGGAATTCGAATAGAAGATGTAATATGATCAAGCCTGATTTGGTTTTCCTTCTTGGCTTGATGTGCTCTCAGCCCTTGAATGTCGAGACCTACACACTACCAACACTATTCTGGAAATGAACAAGTTCTAGAGACGTGCGAAAGTGCTAATATTTTGGTGTTGTAGTGTTGTTTTGATAAGTAGTGTGTTGAGTAAGGCATCAATTATTTTTAAGCAATGAAGAGGGCCTCAACATGTTTTTTTTGCAAAATGTGAGCTCTCATGAGAAAGTTAGATGTCACTAAAAAGTTTTCCTATGGTATATGAGTGAGTGTGACGACCCTATATTTCTAATAACCTAGTGTCGCTAACTTCATCATAACATACTCTCTTGTACGGAAATAAATATTTAAAACTTAAGCATAAAATATTTTCATGGACTTACATGTTCGAAAACATCTTTAAAATAACATAATGAAATATAAAATAAAAAAAAAATAAACATTAAAAGTAAACACCCTACACTAAATCATGTGTGACTCTAAACACCCTCATTGAGTTATGAATTTCGACTCTAAAGGGTTGTCTTTTGATTTGCATGGGTGATAATTACTCTTGTAGCCAATTCAATATGCCTAACCATTTTGGAGATCTGGCCAAATATGGAGTCGAAAGCATAATTTTACGAAATGGAGTTCACTTTTTTCGATATAAGGTAAGTAGTGAATAGTTCCCTTAAGTGTTGATTTCGGAACTTGAAAAATGGAATCTCGCCTTCTCAATGTCTCGAGAGGTGCATAGTTTCTAATCAGATCGTAAATAAATTATTTATAAGAGAATCGATGGTACTTCAGGCAAAAAATGTAATTGCATGGGTAAAATAAACTTTAACTCAGTTATAATTATGAACAACTCACAAGAATTGACTAGCTTGTGATGATTATATTAATGGACACAACTTATCATACCGTACATAAAAGTGTAACTCTAGATCTATAATAGGGTATCCTTTGGTTAATGAATAAAAATTAATTAATTTTAATTAATCAACTTTTATATGATTATGGGAGCTAGGCATCCCCTTGCTAACTCATAAGATTTAATTTGAAATGTTTAAATTAATATTTAGTTATAGGGACCCTACTAAGACTCAATTAAAATACATTGGCCTGACAGAGTTGAGGTTGTTGATACCATGTACCCTATAAGCACTAGTCATCATAGATAAGGCACATTCTTATGCCAATGTAGATTCAGATTAGTCTCACCATGATTAAATCTTACTTAGAACTTAATATGTTTCGAGTATATGATATCATGTATGGAAATAAAGTAGAGGCTCTTATCAAGATTTCTATTTCATAAACCAACTTTGAATGGATTAGGGACAACATGAATACACTATGTGATAGCATACTTGAGGATCCCTTCTTCCCAAATTAGACATGATATTATGATCCGACTATAGTCATCACCTATTCCTTAGCATGTATGCATCTGGTCACAATTATAGAACCATAATATCCCTAGACCATATATGGTTTCATGTGCGAAAATGATTTTGTGTTTCAACGAGAGCTTTGTTTTGTAAACTAGTCCTTGGGTGGACTAGAGACCACATAGATATATTGTGAGACGGGAGAAATTAGTGTATGTCATGATGTTATGGTCCTACTTTAGAATTATCATCTATTATTTAGTATGTATGCTCATAGATATTATCAAAATCATAATGTCCACAGGCCATCAGTGCCACTCAAATAGAGGTCGTGCATGACCATGACATACATGGATCACTATATGGTCGTGCCTCACCATGGCATGCATAGATCACTATATGGTCGTGCCTCACCCTATGCATATATATATATTTCACAGCACACACGCACATATATAATAGATACATATCTACATGCATAAATACATACATACATATACATATATACATATCTCACACACACACATATATATATATACTTATACATTTTTATAATTTCATCTTCTTTTATAACTTCAATTTTTTTTTCTTTTAAAGGTGAAAATGTTGCCATATATTTCCTCTATATTCGTTTATTAAAAAAATATTTCCCAAATAATTGTAAAATTTCAAAGATTTCTATATTAGATAATAAACTTTTATATTAAATAGTCTCATTTTTATAAATACTTTATTATAATTTTATTGGATAACAATCTATATACTTTTTTTATTTTTTATTTTTTATTTTTTGAAAAATAAAATTGAGGGTAATATTTCACTTTGATTTAAACATAATTTAAGAAAATTTCTTAAAAAAGAAAAAAAAAAAAAAAAAAAAATTTTAACAATTTTAAAAGTACTCTCAAACTAAAATTGATTTAAAAAAATAATGGGTAGAATAGTTGATAACATGGATCATCAACATTTATTCGATTTCTAACAATATCATCAGAACAAATCAAAATTTTTGGACTTAATATAAAAATCGTGGGATTAATTCGACAACTATTTTGGATTGTAGAAGCACAAGTAGTTTAGTGGTAGAATAGCACCCTGCTAGGATATAGACTCGGGTTCAATTCTTGGTAGGTGCATCNTTAAATTTTAACCATATAGCATTTTAACCACATTTGCGAAAAATAATTCATCTAATTAAATATAAATCAAATCAATAAAGAAATGTAGTTCAAAATTAAACAAGATACTTATAACTTAATTTACGGTTTGGATGGTAAACTTTTTCACGAATTTAACCTAATCTAATCATAAAATATTTAAGTTAAATTGATTCAAGTTGTTCGAGTAATTTATTTAAAAATTTTGTTTTTTTAAAAAATAAAATGTTAGTATAGAAAACGTTTAATAATTTATTTTTAAATATAAATTTAATTGACTTGGTTTGATTTATTTTAACATCCTAATACTTGTAAAAGAGTTTTAACAAAAACAAACAAATAACTAAAACAAGATGCCAAATTTAAAACCCTTTCACTCTTAATATTTCATTAGACATTGTATTGTCTTTAGTATTGTCCTTAATTTCACTATTATTCATCAACGGTTCTCTCTACAACCCAATTTTCACCCTCTAAATAATAATAATTATAAAAATAAATCCCTTTTCTATGTTTAATTCCTAAATTATCCTATAAAATCTTTTCAAACCTTCATCTAAAAACCATAAACTCTAAATGAATTTTCCTCCGAAATCTACAAAAACCAAGGTAATTTTTCTTCTTCTTTCTCTTCCAATTTCCTTTTGGATCTTTGTTTTCTATCTTCACGTTTCATTGTTTTTTCTTTTGGGTTATTGAAAATAATTATGGGTTTTTGTTCAAAATTTTGATTGGTTTTGGGTTTTGTTTATTGAAGAACTTTTTTTTCCTAAATTCTTACTTTTTTTTTTTCGAGAAAATTCCACAATGTAACAAAAGATGAACCCATAAACTCAACTGCATTTTCCACCATTACTTTTTCGAGAAACAAAATGAAATTGAATCCTCTTCTGTGTTTTTTCGAAAGGTTCTTACATCGAGAATCTCGGCAATGATTGTATTGACATTGGTGAGCTTAGCCACCGTGGATGCCATGAATCCACGTTTGAGTTCGAACTCTCTAAAATTTCAAGCGATCAATTGTCAGAAACACTCGGTGTTGCGGATGGAGTTTAGTGGCATCAGCAACGGAGTAACTTCAAATACTCACGCGTTCCAGCAAGCGATTGAACATCTTAGCGCACTGACAGCGGATGGTGGTGCTCAATTGGTTGTGCCGCCGGGAAAATAGCTGACAGGAAGTTTTAATCTGACCAGTCATTTCACACTTTTTATTGATAAAGAAGCTAAAATTCTTCTATCACCAGTTGGACCTTTGAGTATATTATTTTTATAAAACTAACAGCTTTGGGAGTGATGATTTGAATTTTAATCCTTCGTCAAAGCTAAATTGGTTAGATTTATTTCTCTTAATCTAATGGTGCAGAATGAATGGGAATGACCACTTGTGAAAGTTCTCCCATCTTATGAGAGGGGAAGAGATGCTCCTTGTGGAGGGTACAGCAGGCGGAACTAACCTTATCGACGTGGTTATCACACCTGATTATTTCTTTTTCTTTACCTTTTTAACATTTCTTTTCTTAAAAAAATGGTTAGCAAAATTATAGAGAAATAAAATTGGATTGTTGACATGGTATAGGTAACAACCGCAGGATCGCGGGCAGAAGTCTTATTGGTGGGATAAGTTTCACAACGGGAGCTCAACGTAACACGACCATACATGATCGAGATTATCCAGTCACCATACCGAACACCGACGAAATCAATCCAGGTTCCCTACTTCTCCACCTTCAAAATCTTTGGGCTTCTTTTTTTCATCATCCCTCTACCTAATTCTCCATTCAATTTCACAGATTCTTGTTCCAACACTCGAATCGAAGACTGTTACATCGTTTTCGGTGACGATTGCATTGCCATCAAGAGCGGATGGGACGAATACGGTATCAAATTCGGAATGCCGACCGAGGACCTCGTCATTCGCCGCCTCACTTGCATCTCATTGAATTCCGCAAGTATCGCCATTGGTAGCAAAATGTCTGGCGGAATCCGCAATGTCAAGATTGAAAACGTTACTGCAATCAATACAGAGTC